AAAAAAAAAAAAAAAAAAAAAAAAAAAAAAAAAAACTTTTAAAATCTAGCACACCCTCACACCGAAACGCTGACGAAGCATAAGCGAGCTGCTGGGTGAATTTTCACAAATATAACCCCCTTGTAACCAGACTTGGACGGGAAGCACGAGCCGCCAGCTCCCCACGTTGATGACGATGTACCTGTCCTGGTCACCTTCACCTCTGAGAGGCCAAAGTGGCTTGTCTGGGTAGAGAGCTCTGAGTAGCCCGGGGGGAGGACACAGTGGGGACGCGGTCAGTCCCTGTGACTGCTACGGAGACCAGCTTGTCCCGGTTCACGCCAGGCCCGCATCATTTCAGCACTGAGCGTCCTGTGTCCCGGGAATGCCCTTGGCCCTAGCAAGTGGGACGGTGGGTCACCCTACACCACGCTGGGGCCTCAGGGGCAGGCCTGTCCTAGGAGGGGCCCTCCTAGAAACCACCTGACTCAGGGCGGCTGTCTTTGCAAAGTGGCTCCCATGGCTTCCCCCTTCACCATTTTCTCAGTGCGTAATTGGAAAACCAGATTAATTGAGGAAGGAAGAAGCCTCTGGGGGAAGAGCGCTCTCCACGGGCAGGAGCAAATGGCCAACTCGGCTGGACCTCAGCACAGGGCCCTGACTGCCCAGCCATGCTGCGCCAGCTCCAGAGAGAGCCTCCCTCCAGGACGCACACCAGGACCGCGCTGCCATTCGGGAACATGCTCATTCATTCGCCCATGCGTCATTCAACCACTGTTTTCACCCTAAGCACTCAGGAAAAGCTGGAGGTACAGGGTGGATGATCTGGCCCTGCCCTTGGGGACACACAAGTCCGTGAGCAAATATAATTTTGGGTGCATTGAGCACCAGTGCAATGGGGTCAGGCAGGGCCTGGCGGAGTGAGCTGGGGCAGGAGGACGGGTGGGCCGCTTGGCCTCAGACAGCCCTCCAGCCACTCCAGCCACTCCAGTCCTGCTGCTGCCTGCTGACCCTCAGGGCCGGGGACCCGTCTCCCTGGAACTGTCGTTCTCTGGAATCTTCTGTGTGTGTTCCTGGTGGCTGAACGTGGTCCTCCTGTGACCCTGGCCAGGGCTGGCTCTTGGCCACTTGGAGCAGAGGTTTGTTCTTGTGCCTGAGGAGGGCAAGGGGCTGGAGAGTCAGAGACAGAAATTGCCACCCTCTAGGGAAAGGAGGACTGTTTTCCTCCAAAGGAATGAGTTGCTAATGGTGGATTCTCAGGCAGTGTGGCTGCCAGGCCCAGAGCCGCTGGGCCGAGGAGACGCTGCCAGGGCCACCTGTGCCTGGAGGGGCTCGGTGGCCCCAGCACCATCCTCATCCTTCAGGCCCCTGGAAGTTCTGTGGCTGGACACGCTCTCCCTGCGGAGGGGTAGCTGGTACCTAGATGGGGCGTTCACACCTGGTTGGCCCTGGCCCACCCTTCCTGTAGAA